GAGGGGGGCGACCCAAGAGACCAACTTAGGGGCTCGAGTCCTAAGTGACAGGTCAACAGCTCTGGTTGGCAAAAGGCCACACAGAAGGTGTGGGGAAAAAAGCACAAGCTGAAGACAATAAAAGGAAAAACGTGAATTAGGAAAAATAGTGCCTGGAAGCCTAAAACTACAAAAATAAACCAAAGTCTGTAAAAACGAATGTCGTGTGTGTGTACCTATGAACTAAAGCATACACGTAAAGTGATAATCACCCACAATGCACATTTTCTGGAGTCTGGGAAGGAAGTGAAAGTCACACTTCTGCCCTCTGCCCCCGGGAGGACAGACCACGGCTTCTGGTCTGGTGTGGGCCCTTCCAGAATTTTCTGTGCTCGGACAGGAGCAGGGACACGCTTCCTAGAGGCAGCCTGAGGAGCACTCTCTCAGCGCACAGGTGGGCCTGGTCTGCAGGTGGGCACCCTGGTGCAGGTGCAGATGAGAAAGGCCACCCCCCGTGACCCTGCTGCCCCGAGACGCTGAGGACAGAGCTGGGCGCTCACAGGTGAGAGGGCCATGCCAGGCAGACGCACCGCGGTGGCCCCGAGGGCAGGTGCGGGGGCTACAGGGGCCTGGGCGCATGAGCTGGGGCGGGGGGTCCGGGGTCTGATTCTAGGAGGTCAGGGAGAGCCGAAGGCGAGGGGCCAGCGGGAGAGTCCCAGCGACTTGGGAGCTGGGGGACGCGCCAGAACCGATGGCGGGGGGCCCCGGCCACCCTGCCACGGGTGTGGACTTCCGGGGACTGGTTTTGGTTTTAAATGACCTCGTAATGCTAGAACAGGCCACGATTCACGGACGGTGTGTGGGGACGGCACAGAGATGCGGCCCGCGCCCTTTCCCGTGTCCGTGTCTCACGCGGTAACGCTGCTTGTTAGGACCAGTCACCCGACGCCGATGCGTGATTGACGAAAACTCAGACTGCACCTGGACGTCCTTGGTGTTTACCGGGTTCTAATTTAATCTCCTCCTGTCCTAGGGCCCCACCCAGAGTGCACGTGACACTTAGTCACTGCGTCTCCCTGGGCTCCTCTGGCTGCCACCTTCCCAGACGCCTCTTGTTCTGCGGACCCTCAGTCATGAGGAACAGGCTGTCCCTCCGTGGAAACTGCCGGATGTTTTTCTCACGATCAGCGGGGCGTGGGTTTGGGGAGCAAAACCACCGAGGTGCCGTCTTCGTCACGTCACGTCACGTCAAGGGCACGTGGACCACACGGCTCGTGGCTGTTGGTGTTGACCTTGGCTGCCGGGCAGAGGTCGCGTCCGTCAGGTTTCCCCGTGCGACGCGTCCCTTTCCCCTCCCGCACCGGCCCCTGCGGAAGGACACGCCCTGGAGGACGGCAAGTCCACATCGACTCTTCTGTGCGGGAGATGCACGCGTCACCCCGCCCGTCCGCACACACCGCTTCTGAAAGGGCGTTTTCTACGTCAGCGCCGTGCCCACGTGTGTCCGTGCCAGGCGGGGGAGAACGGCCTGCCTCCCCCGGGGCTGAACTGGGGTCTCCGTGATTGGGAGTCGCACGTCCTCGTCAGTCGCCCCGTGGACCCAGCCACCACGTGGGGCATTCACCGTCCTGCACGTCCGCTGTTCCGTAGAACCCCGGCTGCCTCTCTGGAAGTGTCCTCCCAGGGCTGGGACCCGTCTGGCTCGGCTGCAGTCCCCACACCAGCAGGGGCCAGGCATAGAGGGGAGGAGCCGACCTCGCCGTGCCATGGCCCCGGGGCAGACTCGGGCGCACGGCCGCCAGCCTGCAGGGCGCACCGAGGAGCGAGCCGGACCGCTGGCTCAGACGAGGCCTTCGGTATCACCTCAAACCCTTATTTATACAATGTGGCTGCCACTGCCCATCATGTGCTTAGAAAACTCTAAATGGCATACGTACTGGTCACCCTCGAAAGACGGTGCTTATGTAAACACAGTCTCACTCATAGAGACAGTCACTGTCACGAACAGAAGAGGTGCACACCACGGCCAGCCCTGGGCGCCCCGGTGAGATGCGCAGCCACTCACCAGGTCGGCGGAGACGGCGGTGGTGATGAGCGCGTATGGCCCGCTGACCAGGGCCCCACTGAGGAGCAGCATGGCTGTGGGAACCGGAGACCAGAGAGCGTTAGCGGGCGGAGCGCCAGCCTCAGCGGCCCCCTGGGGGGCCCCCTGGTGTCACGTGCGTCCTGGCCCGAGCCGAGCCGGAGGCTCTGAGGTGCTGGGAAGGCGGCCCACGGTCCGGGGCTGGGAACCACCCGGGCGAGCGTCATAAACATCTCCCTTTAGACCCGCTGAGAGGCGTTTTGTGAGTCCAGCCACACTTTGCAAAGACGCAGGCTTTTTGGACCTGAGACTCTGCACAGGCAGCAGCTGCTGGCTGACACACCGAGGGGTCCGAGAACCCTGGCGTCCTAAGTGTGGATGTGGCCTGGGACAGCAAGTGCTCCCCACTGGCCCTGTCGGCTGCCGCCACGGCCTCATCTGCAGCAGAAAGGAACCTTCTCTGCACCCGCAGCTGCTGACGGCAGCTCAGCCCCGAGGGACCTCAGCCGGCTCCAGGGGTGGGGCGGCCACGTGGGTGAAAAAAAGCATGCTTTTCTGCTTATTCACATGTTGCTGCCTTTTATAGGGATTTGGGTGTTGAGATTGCAGACAACCTGTACGTCAGCTGGCTGCCTCCACAAAACACCCCCCCCCCCCCACACACACACACACACACACACACCCCAGGAACCTGCACTCTGGGTAACGTCCAGCGGGATCGCACAGAGCCTCCGCCCTTCCGATCCTCCCTGCTGGCTTCTTAGAACAGAAACGATATTTACTAAGTGTCAGAGCCATAATTGGATAGCGTGGCCTGCAGGAAGTTAAAAATAGTCTCCAGTGTCACACAACTGGCCCGACGTGGCTGACGTGGCTGACGCTGACAGGAGCCGGGTCGGGAGCCAGGCCTGCCCAGCTCTGCCCGGCTGCCACCTGCCCGGGGTGCAGCCTGCTGCCTTCCAGGGGACGTCTGGCTTCTGTGAGTGGCTCCTTGCCCCTGGGCACCCGAGGCTTATCCCTGCCCCAGACCAGGTGGCCTGCACCCTCCCACACGCGCGCCCACACCGGCAGCCGGTCAGGCCTTACGCTTGGGAGCAGCAGGCCCCATCCGGGGGGCACGGGGCCTATTTTGACCACACCACACACTCTGCTCACGCCAGCTAAATGCTCCTCTGTTCGTTCATTTCCTTTCACCAAGCCGCATGGTCAAGACGCACGCGAAAGGAAACAGGGCAGGCCCCGCGGACTCACCGACGGTGGCTTCCAGGCCCATTCTGCTGACGGCGGAGAACACGTACAGCTGTGAACGGTAAAGACGGGAAAGACAATGGTTCGTTCCGAGTCCCCGAAGAGCTGCTCAGGGACCTGTTTCTGAAAGGCCGGGCGGGCGACTCTCAGAGAGGGGACGGCTCTACAGCACAACGGGGGCCGTGCTGCCCTGGGGGCCGTGCTGCCCTGGGGGGCGGGCTGTCCCTGGGGGGCGGGCTGGCTGAGGACCGGCGTCCCTGGCACAGCTGGCAAAGAGGCTCCCGGCCCCGTCCCAGACGCGCGGGTCCTGACCCCGCTCTCCGAGCTGGGGGCCCCGGATGACCCCGCTCTGGGCTCCCTGGGCAGGGGGACGGGGCTGGGGCACTTCTCCCCGAGCTCTGAGTCGCGCCATCTCCTCCTCAGGCCGTCTGCCCGACAGCTGCGCCTGAGGAAGCGGGGGTCCCGTGGCCCCAAGATGACCGAAAACTAGGCCCTGTTCTGGGGACAGTCACTGCCTTGGGCAGTGGCGTGGCAGACGGGCAAACGGTTACAGTGCCAGTGGCTGAGTGATGACACCGTACGCAGCGTCGCTGGAAAGTGGTGAGGCTCTGACGGTGACGTCTGGCGCCGACGGTGTGGGTGGCGCCACTGTCTTCATTTCTCAGGAGGAAACGAGGCGCAGAGGGGGAGCCACGCACCGCCCAAGGCCTAAGGAGCCGGGCAGCCCAGGGACGCTACGCTGGGCAGTGCCGAGGAGGCGGGGACGGCGCCAGGGCCCTAACGGGTCAGCGGGAGCCTGCGGGGGGCAGCTCGGCGAGGGGCGGTAGGGCGGGGAGGCTGGGCCAAGGCGGGTCTGGAGGCAACAGAGGCGACAGGCCATGCGTGGAGGGGTCTGCTGGTGGGAGGACGGGGTTAGGGGGGCTCACCGTCGGGGCTGCGAGCAGCAGCATCAGGCCACAGGTGGAGGCCCTCTTCTTCAGCCGGTCTGAGATGACTCCTGCCAGGATCCCGCCTGCAATGCGGGGTGCGGGGGGACTGAGGGGCTGGCCTCCGGCAAGGCCCCCAGGGAGGGAGGGACTGCAGCTACAGCAGCGAGAGACGGACCTCCCTCCCAAGGCCCCTCCCAGTCCCCGTGGGCAGGCAGCCGCCTCCGCAATGCCTGACAGACTCCGGGGCTGTCACCCTGAGTGACCTGGAGGGCACCTCCCAGCGAGCCAAAGGGGGCGCCTGGGAGTCTGGTTTCAGGCTGACCCCAGAGCCCCGTCACCTGTCAGGGCGCGAACACTGCCAGCCCGTCTGTCCTACCGTGAGGTGTGCGCCGTCCCTGACTGAGCGTCAGATCACCGTCAGTCAGGGCCCAGGACGCGGGAGGGGTACGTCCGCTCAGGGATGTGCTGCCTTGGGGGACACGTCTCGGAGACTGGGCCCCGGGCGGCCGCACGCCACTGCTCAAGTTTCTATGGCAGTGGACCGGGCGGGGAGGGACTCACCGAAGATCCCGCCCACGTCGAACAAGGTGGACAGCTCCCCGGCCTTCTTGACATCCAGGTGATCTACCGAGATGACAGGGGTCACTGGGAGGAAGGTCCTCGCACCCACCCTGTGTTTCGCCGGCACGGTTCAAACCAAGCCGTGATCGGTTAACTCAGATGACAAGGCCGCAAGCGGTCCGCACGGGGCTGGCCCCAGACCGGAAGGACGCGAAGCGCCATCAGCCACACGAAGTCCGCCTGCGAGTCTGAGGCCCCCATGTCTGCTTCACGCAGCCGCTGCCCGCAGCACGGGACTGAGCGGGCAGCTACACAGGGATGGACGCTCAGAAGCCCAGAGCTCCTTACTGTCCTCCCGCAGGACCCGTCCCTGCTAACGTGAGACCGGCCCCTCACCGCCTCGACGTCCACCCCTGCGACCTTCTGCCTCGGGCTCGTTCCCGTCTGTGCTTGTCCTGAGGACACTGCCGGAGCATGCGGGATGCACTCAGTGAGCCCCGCATCCCACAGTTTTCCTCTTTGTCACGGTCACCAGAGCCCACACCTCAGGGTGACACCCAGAGGCTCCAGGGCCTTCCCTGACCATCCCCCGTCCCGACACCCCCATCCCATGCCTGCGATCTTTCCTGCTTGGAACTGCTGGACCCCTCATCTGTCCTGCTGTGGTCACACACAGCACAGGGCGTGCATGCCACTACCGTGCGGGCTCATCGGTCACCACCTCTGGCTGCAGCTCGGACGGACGCTGGATATAAGTCCAACTGTCGCTGTCCCTGAGCCTAGAACTCATTTCCACGACGCGACTTCCCAGACGGACGACTGCGCCTCGTCTTCTCAGCCCCCGGGGCCTGTGCAGCTCGCCCGCGGGGAGACCCACGGTCCGGGGCAGCCTGAACGTGCGAGCAGGCGGCACGGGACTGGCAGCCACAGCTGGGATCCGATGCGGTGACCCTTTGAACCACCAGGGTCATTACTATGGCAACAAAGTGTGCATGTCCGAATTCTGTCTGTCTATTTCTACTCATCGTGCTGGTCGATGCATCATGCCCCGTATGTGCCTTTTCTTTCCAAGACCATGGCAGCCGGCAGGGGAGGGAGCTCAGATCACAGGCACCGCACAGAGCCGGACACCTGTGCCTCCGGCGGCGGAGACTCACCCACGTTTGTGATGTAGAGAGGGAGCCAGAAGAGGAAAGTGTAGCTGACCAGCTTCGCGAAGAGCAGACACAGAGAGAACTCGATCACGCCCTGGAAGAGAGAGCCAGCCCGCTCACCCACCGTGCGCCCCGGGGCTCGGGCAAGCCCGCAGCAGAACCGCAGGCTGCCCAGGCCACGCACGAAGCCGTGGCTCCGCTGTGCAGTGAGCACCTCCGGACGCGGCAGGGGGAGGGGCACGCGTGGCTGCGAGGTCGCGGGACACTGTGGACGGGCTCTCCCGCACGCGGCCACCTCGTAAGACTGAGAGCCACCGTCTCTGCATTGGATCAGAGTCAGTAACGTACTGCCGACCCGACTCTCCCGCCTGGCCTGACCGCTCGGTACCGAAGGCGTGCTGGACGTGGGGGACAGGCGTCCAGGACGTGGGGGACAGGCGTCCAGGTGCTGAGCACGTAACGGCTGTTTCCTTCCCCCCGAGACCGGAGACACTGCAAATTACACAGTGACCGGAGACGCAGAACGGGCGCTTCTGACCGTCTGTGAGACGGGCGGGCGGCCACCTCCTGCCCGTGGCGGGGGGAGAATGGCCTTGGGGGGAGGCTCGTTTGTGCTCCAGACCGGGTCTCGTTTGTGAGACACCGCTTGGAAATCTGAGTGAGGAATCGGGGGACACCGCGTCTGTGCACGGGGACACCCATCACCACGAGGCAAAGGACACAGCACGCGATTTAGGTTGATGACTCTGAACTCACATGAGCCGATGGCGTCCCAGTGGCCACTGGGACGATGGGCGTGGTTCGGGCGGGCTTGCTGTGCGCCTGGCACGGGGCACAGAGCCCTGGCGAGACCGTCTCACTCAGGCCTCAGCACCGCCGTAAACACCGCCGGGCACCGAGCCCGTGCTTCAGCGGAGGCGGGTGCGCTTGCCTGGGGAGAGCCGGGTTGCCTTCCCCGCCACCCCACCTGTATTTCTATGACGGGCGTGCACCCCCTGCTCAGCTGAAGCTTACGAGGCAGCTGCACATGAGGCACGCAGAAAGGTCCTCGGCTGCTCCGAAGCACACTTGGGAAATAGTTTCCTATCCGGACCGGGCCCCTACGGGCCGACCACACAGATCTGCCGGGCGACAGCGTCCTCCACGCCCTGGCTCCAGGGCGCCGAGTGCCAGCAGCGCCTCCTGCTCATGGCGCTTCTCCCAAGCGCTGTCCCTTGACGAGCTCCCCAGGTCCCGTGCTGGTCGGCGGAGGGGCCTCTGGGTCGGGCTCCCTCTGTGCCCTCTCGGGAGGGTCGGACAAGGGGGGCCGGCCTCGTCTGCGTGGGATCCGCGTGTGCGCCCACCGGCAGGCCCAGACGAGGGGCCGTCCTACCTCCAGGGCAGGCTCGCTCCTCCCTCCCGCCCTCCGCCCCGGCCACCTCTGGTCACCTCCTGAGAAGAACACGGTGTCTACATGTCCTCTGATGCCCCGGACACCCGCGGGGGGAGCCCAGGAAATAGCACAAGAAAACCCCCACGCGAGAAGGAGCCTCACTGCCACATGCGCCCCGGCCCATCGTGAGTGGCTTTGTCCCCGACTGTCCCGCACACCCTGGCCAGGCACAAGGGCCCGGTCAGCCAGCACCGTGCGGGCCCAGGAGCTCGGCGTCAGCACTGGCCGCCTCGCTGCGCGCGTGCAGCTGATTTTAGACAGAGAAGCAGCCCGGGCTCTGCGGACCGTTGGCTTTCTGTCCCCAGCAGTGGCTTCTTGTCCTCTCCCTGGTCCCTGTACCCTCCGTCACCCCTACTTCCTAGTGGCACAGGCCAGGTCAGTCAGAGCAGGTTTCTCCTTCTGGAAGCACTTGAAAGGGCAGGGAGCTCACGCAGATGCCCCCCGGCCACGGAGCGCAAGGCAGGGCCGGGGTCCGGTGCCCCCGGGGCTCGCTGGCAGGCCGGCCGGGGCGGGGTGCACCAGGGAGGTGCCGAGCCACAGGGCAGTGCGGGCCCGGAAGAGCCAGACTTTTCTGGTCTTTTAAGTGAAGAAGAGAGGCCTATTTGTCTGTGAAATTTCTGAATTTCTAAATCGAGACAACTAATTTCAGAAAATTTTAAATGCAGTACGAGGCCAACAGGACCCCAGCCTTGCTCACTCGGTGCCGAGGCTGCCTGCTTACGGCCCCGGCTTCTGCCCTGGGCTCCTGACCCTCGCAGCATGGGATCCCCGACTGCTCTTCCCGAGCCTGGCGATCGACTGGGCAGCCTCTTTCCCCAGCATGCGCAAAAGACCCTTTTCGAAGCTCTTCCCAGGCACGTGTACTCACGGGAATTTTCAAGGCCCCGACGAAGCTGATGGCGGCCATGCCACTCCCGCCGTTGCCGGGGAGGATGACGACGTGGCTCTGATGGGCAGAATGCTTCCCGTCCGCCAGCAGCAAGCACTGCACCTCTGGGTCCTGGCGGCGAGGCCCATGGGGAGACAAAAGGGAAGGTGACCCGTCCACTGGGCCGAAGCGAGGCCAGAATTCCCAGCGACTTGGCTGCCCGCCGGGAGCCTTGGAGACACCGTCGATGATATTCTCGTAGTCATTGATTTACTGCCATCGGCATCCACACGTTTTTAGGAAACACTAACTAAACAGGTCAAACCCGCTGACCCGATACTTCCAGGGATCCGTTTGCAAAAAATAAGAAAAAAAAAAACTACTTATTTAATAAAATGAATGTCAAACCGCCATTGAGGAAAATTGGTAAAGTACGTTCATATAAATGATGTATCTTGCGGTTGTAAAAAAGTTTTCGTAGATTTTAATGACGTGGAAAAATGCTTATGACACACACATAATAAAACACCACTCAGAACTGCATTTTCATCATGTTTTCGGGGAATGTTTAAATACGTACCTGTATAACCAGGTAACTATAGGATGCATTTATGGAAAGAAAGAAGCCAAATTCTAAACTGGCACTGGTTATCACCAAGTGGTGGGATTACATGTAATTTTTATGAAACGTCAATAAATTCTTTACGTGATCCTGTATTTCTTTAAGGAGCTCCAACTAGATGTATGTGGTCAGGAACAGCATTATTTTAAGATTCATAAACCGATCCTGATATTTTATAAATTCTGATCCTGGACATCCCCAAAGGATAAAGTTTGCATTAGTAAAGCAAAGAACGCTGGTCCCCAACTCAGGGTGAGGTTTCAAGGATCTAAAAACTGTCTGTCATGATTGGACGATGAAGTTCACGGACCTAAAAAGAAATGTTTGTATGTGTCGCAGACTTTTCACAAAAACAAACAGATTTTACTGTATCTATTTCAATATAGCATAAGCCAGATGAATGCAAAATGCTGTTAAATTAAAAAAGAAAATGATAACGCATCGCCACCTCCGGGAAACGGGGGGCAGGCGAGAGCGAGAGCTGTCCCTCGCACACACGCTGAGCCCGTGCCGCACCCCCAGGCAGCGGGGCCCCCACCACCGAGAAGCCGGCTTCTGACGAGCTGCAGTGCCCGGGGCCCTGGACGGACGCTGTCCCGTGGGGCCGTATGTGCTCATGTTTTAGCGCAGGGGTGACAAGCCGTCCCTGCAAAAGCGAACGCTTCCCGATGCCGCTCCCCACAAGTCCCAGAGAGGGAGAGCGACGACTCGCGGTTGGAAAGAAGCCTTTCTCGCGAATCAGGCCAGCGGTCCGGTCGAGGAGGCTCGACCCGGCCGCGCGCTGGGATCTGCTGGGGCCTCGGGCAGTGCCGGGCCAGGCTGCGCCCCAACCCCATCACAGCGGTCCCTGGGGCAGGCCCGAGGGGCCCGGCAGCCGAGGCTGGGCACTGCGGGGGCTCCAGGGACGTGTCAACGCATGGGGTGCGAGGAGACAGCGGGACTCTGCTAGGCCAGGGCAGCGCCCCCGACCCAGCGGCAGCCGCAGGCCCCGCGCAGGAGCCCGCTCGCTCCCCTGGGCCACTGGACAGGTTCAACAGCGGACCCGGCCTTCTGCTCTCCCAGCAGCGAGAGGCCGTCCCAGCGGACAGACGAGGGAAGGCTCTGTCCTCCCGCCCGCCCCCACTCCTCTGCCATGCGGTCTGGGGGCTCCCAGCCCCCCGACTCCAGTCATTCGCAGTGTCTGGAGGAGATGGGGACAGCGTGAGGTCATGGTGGGTCCTCCCAAACAAACCTGGGCGCCTGGCTGCCTCCTCCGTACGGAGCTAACTAACGGAGGGCCGCCAGGTGGTCAGACACGCGGGCGCGGGTGCCTGGCATCCCCAGGGGCTCTGACGGGGTCTCCGGGCCCCTTCGGCCAGGCCAATCACGCTCAGGTTTACACTTGGAGGAGCAAAGGGGCTCCACGCTGCCACATGGACAGCGGGTGCTCCCGTCTGAACACGCTAGGGCCGCGCCTCGCCTGGCGCTGTCTGCCGCTACTCTGGGAGGAAGACCACCGTCCCCAGAGGGCACGCGTGGACTCCCACGGGTCAGAGGGTGGAATAACCTTAGCATTTCGGGCAGCACCCAGCGCTCAGTGTTTGCTGAGCCACGGCCAATGAGAAAGATCCTCAGAGAAGGCAGGGTGGCAAGGAGGATGCATAGCTACAAGGGTGACAAATTTCGACCATCCCCAAGGTCGTCAGCATAAAGCCACGAGGACCGGCAGAGGGCCCTCCACGTGGCCAGGCGACACCAGGCTTTCTCTTCACGCCCATCCCTGCCTCGCCCACCCCTTTCTTTACGTATCTCCTCATTTCTGGCATAAAGAGAAAAAAGCCGTGCTGTCTGCGAAGTGCTGGTGAGCAGGGGCCGGGTGACACTCCGCTCTCAGCCCCCCGGACACGAGGGGTCCGGCCAATCTTGTGGGGCGTCCTGTCTGCTGGCCCAAGAGCCACCTCCAGAGTGTGAGCTGTTCCCGCTACCTAAGGGCGGGGACCAAGCTGGCTGGTGCTCAGAGGCCCCTGTGGAAGGGGACCCCCAATGAACCAGGGCCGACGACCGCCTGGTCAAGCCGCACGGAGGTCAGCCTGCGGGGTGGCCGGGCCTGAACCAAGGCCTGCCGTCTCTTTGGTGACATGCTCTATCCAATGCCGGCTGCTTAGCGAGGGCCCCCACGACGAGGCCTGAACTAGTGCCCCCCACCCCGCCCCCGGACTCTGTCCTCCTGGCACGCAGCTGCGGCAGAAGGCTTGTTTCCTGGGTGCCCCCCACACCCTTCCTGGACGTGAGTGCCACAGAGACGTGGCCGATGCTCGCGCAGACCACCCAGAGTGGTGCCCACAGCACTGCACGCTGATGAACGAACGGCTTAGATTTGGTTTACAAATTTAAAGTAAGCTGAGCCTCCTAGCCAAAGAAATCTAACACGAGCAAACTCAAGTTTTACTAAGGAAACGCGAGACCCCGTTTCGTAAGGACCGCGGGTGTCCGGGACAAGTCCCCCAGCAGTGGCTCCCACTTCCCGCCAAGCGGCACCGCGCGTGACTCACCTGGGCGGGCGAGGCTTGCTTCTGCAGCCTGAACCTGTGCACCCCGTTCTCACAGCTTTTCGAATGCTGGAAGAGAAAATTTAATTAGAGCGATTACCGAACGGACAGCCGGAAGTTACACCTGACGCGCCGCAGCAAGGAGACGTGCCATCGTCACAAAAAGGCACCATGGGGACGCAGACAAACGACCAGTGTGAAACAAAGGGCTGACCGGGTGAACCTCAAGGCTCCAGACCCTCAGATAACAGAAGGTGGAAACGAAGTTCTTTCTCGAAGAATCATCCAGGACCGACGTGCGCAACTCAGTTGTGCGACCATCACCACAGCCAATTTTAGAACATTCTCGTCTCCCTTCAGAAAGAACGCCCGCCCTCACCTCCTGGGCAGCCGCTAATCTACTTTCTGACTCCGCCGTCTTTCCTGTTGCGGACAGAAAATCATACGGTACGCGACCTTCAGTGACTGGCTTCTCTCCCTCGGCATCGCGTTAAGATCCATCCGTGCGTGGCAGGCATCAGCACCCCGTTCCTATCTGTTGCTGAGAACTATTCCGCTGTACGGACACACAGCATCGACGGGCAGACAGCACGCTGTCTCCACTTCGGGGCCATCGCACACCACGAACATCTGGGTACAATCTTCCCGAGGACACGTTCCCACGCCCCTCCGACGTGGCCTGGGAGCGCGGCTGCTGGGTCGCACGGCGGGCAGCCCGGCCCTTCCGAGGAGCTGGCAGACTGTGTGCCAAGGCGGTGGCCCCATTTTGCAGCCTCAGTGGCAGTGCGTGAGGGCGGGTTTGGGACTGCCTGCCTTTTGATTCCAGCCGTGCCAGCGTGAAGTGGTGTCAGCGTGGTTTTGACTGCATTTCCCTGACGGCTCATGGTGTTAGATAGCTTTGCACGTGTTTATTGGCCGTTCGCGTATCTTCTGCGAGAAATGTCTGTTCAGATCCTTTGCCCGTTTTTCCCACTGGGTTGTCTTTTATTACTGAGTTGTAAGAGTTCTTTCTATAGACACGAGTCTTATCAGATACGTGATCTGGAGATGTGTTCTCTGATCTGTGGGTTGTCATTTCGTTTTCTCCACGGCGTCCTATGAAACGTAAGTTTTAAATTCAGACGACGTCTAACGGATCTTTCCCTCCACCGCTTGTGCTTCTGGTAGCGAATCTAAGGAGGCTTTGCCTGATCCAAGCTGAAGAGACAAGCCTACATTTTCTCCCAAGAATTTCAAAGTTTTAGCTTTCACATTTAGGCCTTCGCTGGATTTTCTTGTTTGCGTACGGTGTTAAGAAGAGGTCTGAACACCTTCTTTGCATGTGAATATTCGGTTGTCCCAGCACCACCTGTTGAAAAGAGAACCCTCTCCCCACCGACAGGTCCCGGCACCCTGGCCGAACGTCAGCCGACCATAACGGAGAGTGTTTCCTTCTGGGCGCTCGGTTCTCCCCGTCGGTCAGTCCGTCCATCTCCCTCGGGACAGCGGCACAGTCTCAGTCACTGCAGCTTGGTACTAAGCTTTGAAAGCAGGAAGTGAGTCTCCCACCCTGGTTCTTTCCCAAGATTGTTCCTGCTGTTCTCGATCCCTTGAACTTTCTTAAGAATTCTAGGATCAGCTTGGATTTCGACAGATCATACAGAATCGTAGTCAGTTGGGGGATGTTGCCATCTTAACAATATCGAGTCTTTCAGTGAACGTGGAATGTCTTTTCGCTGGTTTAGGTCTTCTTTGATTTCTTTCGACAATGTTTTGTAATTTAATAATGTAAAAGTCTTACACTTCCCTGGTTAAATTTATTCTTAAGTATTTTATTCTTTTTGATGCTATTGTAAACAAGATTGTTTTCTTAATTTCCTTTTCGGATTGTTCATTGCTAATGTATAGATCTGTGATTTTGGTATATTGATTTTGTCCTGCAACCTTGCTAACTTGTAACAATAGCTCTAACAGTTGTGTGTGTGTGTGTGTGTGTGTGACCTGGGATTTTCTATATACAAGATCATGTCATTTGCAGACAGAGGTACTTTTATTTCTTCTCGTCAAATCTGCCTGCCTTTTGCTCATTTTCTTGCCTAACTGCCCTGGCTAGAACCCCGAGGAACGCTACGTGGAAACAGCGTCCTCGTGCACTCCTGACCTGGGGGCGGGCATCCGGTCTTTCGCCGCCAAGCGTGAGCTGGCGGTGCGGTTCAGATGCCCTTTACGTGGCCGAGGCAGGGCCCTTGCACTTCTGATTTGTTGCGTGTCTCATCGTGAAAGGCCCTGGGTTTTGTTAAATGCTTTTTCTGGTCCGATTGAGATGATCCCGTGGTTTTTGTCTTTGTCTATCACATTAACTGATTTTCAGATGTTAAAACAATTGTGTGTTCCTGAGAGAAACCCCACTCGCTCACGGCGTGTGATCCTTTCTGCATGTTGCTGGATTAGGTTTGCTAGCATTTTGTTGAGAAGTTTTACGTCTTATTCATAAAGATTCTGGTCTATAGTTTTCTTGTGACGTCTTTGTTTTCTTTTGTTATCAGGATAATACCTCATGGAATGAAAGGAAACTGTTCTCTTTTAGTTTTTGGAAGAGTTTGTGAACATTTAGTGTTCATTCTTCTTTAAATGTCTGGAAGAATCCACCAGTGAAGCCTTCTTGGCCTGGGCTTTTCTTTGTGTTAAAATTCTAAAGTGATAGTTCAATTCCTTTCTCGTCACAGGTGTATTCGGTTTTCTCTTCTCTCGAGTCAGTTCGGGAGCTTATCTCTCTCTAGGAACGTGTCCCTTTTCTAAGTTATCGAGTTCGTCAGCAGGCAGCTGTCCACGGTGTTCCCCTGGCAGTTCTGACTTCTGTGAAGTGGGTCATAATGACTCCTCTCTCCTTCTAGAGTTCGGTCATTTGAGTCTTCTGTCTTTTTTTGGTCTGACTAAAGGAGGAGAGAAAAGAGGAAGAGACGACACTTCCCGGGCCAGCTGGGGACCCCAGGGCTCAGCGAGCCGGTCCGCTCTCCTCTGCTTCTGAAGATCCGCCCTCTCCCCAAAGTCCCTTCTCACTCGGTGCCCAGTCCCCATGCCCAGAAGATGCCCCGGGGTAGAAGGTGAGCGCCGAAGCTGTCCCCACGTCCAGAGGCGGTGGGTCCTTGCACGTCTAAGCTGCTCCACGGCACGACGAAACACCGTATATGCCGGGACATTAAGATTCACGCTCACGGCAGGAAAACGCCTTCTAAACATTTAAAATTATCAACTAGAGTTAGAATCATATGATGCTAATTTTCCTGCAGCAGCAGTGATTTTCAAAATTGATTTTGTTTCCTTATTTTTGTACCGGAATCCTTCTTTTCAAGTTAATTGTACTCAAAAGTCCGAAGCGTTAACGAGTGACCTACGCAGACACTGGGGCGCCGCCGCACTGTGGCAGGCGCTGTGCGGGCCCTCGGCAGAGAGCACCCCGCCTCCACTGGGGGAGACGGACGGGGAGGGGCACACCGGGCTCCTGCTGAGAAGACTGGGAGCCGCTGCGGCTGCGGCTGCGGCTGCGGGCAAGGTGCTGACGCGCTCTGCCTCCGTCTCGGCAAACGTCTCCGCGTGAGGTGCGAAGGGAGGGTTTTAGGGGAGCAAAAGTGCGTTGTTTTCGGGCTGATTAGTGGGTCAGAGGGGACTCGATGGCGACTTGGCCGCGGGCTGTGGAGGTGACGAGAGGGTTTCCAGCCACACGCACAGAACATGCAGAGAACACACACACACACACGCAGAACATGCACACAGAGAGAACACGCACATGCAGAGAACACACACGCACACAGAGAACACACACACATGTACAGAACATGCAGACACACAGAACACACAGAGAACACACGCAGAACATGCACACACAGAACGCACACATGCACACACAAAGAACACGCACACGCCTGGCCATGGACGGGCTACGGGAGCAGAGGCCGGGATGGCCCCGTGGGATCTGCCCTGCTCCCGGGGTGGACAGGGTTCCGAGACCAGGGCCAAGCAAGTCTCCGGGGTGAACAGAGATCGGCTCTGGGTGAGCGAAGCCAGAGAAGACACGCACGTCTCTGTGGGGGTCAGGCGGGCAGGGCGGGGGGAGGGCCA